AGGATTTTCTTATTCACAGCAGCTTTCTCACTGAAGCCTTCAAACGCCTATTGGTGTCAGATAAAATACCAACTCAGAAGCTGGGCGGTGGTGGCGCACGCCTTTAATCCCAGCACTCGGGAGGCAGAGGCAGGCGGATCTCTGTGAGTTCGAGACCAGCCTGGTCTACAAGAGCTAGTTCCATGACAGGCTCCAAAACCACAGAGAAACCCCGTCTCGAAAAACCAAAAAAAAAAAAAAAAAAAATACCAACTCAGAGAGGCAAAGCAACTCCTCAGGATTACAGTCTGAACACGGATGGTGAGAACCTAAACTGACTTAACCCTACAGACCACACTGCCCTGCCGGGCCACTCTGCTGGATTAACAGTCCCGAAAAGACATCCCTAACAAGGAAAATGATGGCCTGTGTTGCTGGTCTTGTTGGGTATCTCAGGTTGGTCTTGAATTGTTGGCAATCCTTCTGTACTCAGCCCTCCAAGTGCTGGAATTACAGGCATAAACCATCACACCCACAGGAAATGATGTTTTTGCAAGCATCTGCCTTATAGGACCTGTGGCAAGAAATGATTAGTGAAGGTGATGATGGCATATACCAGGAAACACCTACCCATCCAGCTGTTTGATATATCACACACCCAAAATAAGCAGACGAGTCTCAAGTGGAACCAGATCCCCCTCACGTCAAACAGGTATTAGCTTAGTCACACTCGGCTTCATGAAGGCAGAACCATCTACAGCGACGTTACCTCATCTCAAGTGTGATCAGAAATAAAGGGGCAAAACCCAGAGAAAAGGAAATTGGAGATCGAGGGTCAGGCTCACTCTTGGGCAAAAGGTCAGGGGTCAGTCCCTAAGAATGAAGCATGGCTGCTGTATCCTCTGGTTGTATACTGACTTTCTTGTCAACCCCTTTAGACTCGGTCCTGTCTTCTCCCAGAGCTGTTTCCAGGCCTCACAGTAATCCTGGCTCTTATCTATATTTGTGCTTGTGTAAAGGGGGGTGTAACGGGCATGACTGCCTTTCCTGGAGTGTGAACAGTGCCAGGATGTTTATGGTCTCCCAGCCTACATTTTGTCACTGGGCAGTAGGAAGTCTGGATAAAACAGTCATGATCTAGGAGTAGACAAGATCCCAGCAGCAGGCCATTCCCTAGGGGAGGTGGAAACAAAGCTTCGTTGTCTGCTCTATCCACCCTGCCCACTCTTCTGTTTGCCTGGCCTTGGCTCCTGTCTGAGCTCTCTCACCCTTTGCTTTAGTCTGCCTCAGGCCTTCTCTTTCCCAAGGACCCTTTCAGCAGGAGCTAAAACACAGCTTCTCGCCTTCCTCTGAAGTATTCCTAACGACAGCTACCCTTTCTCCAGAGCTGGGAATTTGGGGCAGGGAGTTTTCAAGGCAAGTCTTAATTGGTATACTCTGAGTGATCCTCCCACTCAGCTTTGGACACGGAAAATAAGGTTCCCCTGGTAACAGAGTGATTGACAGATTTGGGACTTGACCCCAGGTCTTCTGGCTTCCCTTCAGCCTCCTGAATACTGCAGGCCACCTTGCAGGAGGCTACAGATTTCACAAATGACACCCACTAAGCCAGCCCTAGCTCTAGGACCAGCTCAGTGATCATCCAACAATCCCATTCCATATGAACTTCAGTTTGTATAGAAGGAAATAAAGTTCTGAAAGGCTGGGTATGGTGGAGCAGCTCACACACCCTGTAAGTGGGTAGCTTGCTGTCTCATCAGGCAATTGGACTCTTCAGCCAATGACTTGACCCCCAATGTGAGTATAAGGATTAGTGGGTAGCTTTGAGGACAGAACTCATCCTGGCGGATAGCCCTGAGGATAGAACCCGTCATAGTGATGAGGATGCTGTAGGATCTCTGAGCAAATAACAGGTATGATCTGTATCTCCATATCAGATTCTGCTGAACTCAGAGAAAAGCGAACAAGCTGCATCCACCTTTAAAAACTGTAAAGTGGCGGGGCCTCGGACTTGAGCAGTAGCACCAGAAATACCGGGGCTAAATCAAATTTAGTCTGCCCTAAGTGTCTGGATCAGCAGCTCTGGGTAGGACCCCAGAATTCACTTTTAGGAAGGGCTCAGTGATGCTGTTGCTGCCAGAGGGAGTCAGTCCCATTGTGAGAGTGACTTTTGTGGAAGTCGGGTGATGGAGATCCCTCCTCCACCTTGTCAGGCAGGGTGGATCCCAGCAGTCCATCTTCCCTGGACAAGTGGATGAAGAAGAAGCCATGAAGACACTTTCTTGGATGCTTAAGAGGAATGCTTTGTGCTAGGTTATCCAGGGAGATGGAGCTTCGAGATTCCTGTCCTTTGTAGGAGTGTGGGTTCCGTGTTTCACGGGCTGGCTGGCACACACACGCTTCCCCCTGCCTTCTAGTGCCTGAACTCTAGGCCCACAGTGGTCACTCTGCCCAGAGTCCAAGCTGCTGCTGCCTCCGTGTACAGAGATTTTACTCCTGATCACAGGGGAAGGGCCAGGACCCCCAGGACTGTCTTTTAAATCATTTACATTTGATTAGGGGTGCAATGTTCCTGTTTTGCAGGAACTCAAGGGGAATTGAATGAAGTCTTTTTCTCACTACTCCAGCAGAAATGCCCAGAGGATAATCTACAAGGAAAGCGAATAGGTAAATAAAAACAAATAGAAATGCAGAGTTGGCTGGGAGCCCCTGGGGATTTACTAATTACTCTCACAACGCTTTGAGTAGGAACTAATTAATCTCTTAAGCACTGGGAGGGGCTAAATCACCTGCCAAGTGCAGGACGTCATCTCCAGGGGCTGAGTTGGAAGTTTATAGAGAGGGTCTACATGAGGATCATCTCCCCCAAAGCATCCAGCACATGCCTTTCAAGCTCATTCTGGAGCCAGACTCGCCATCACTCTATCTTGGATCCAGATAACTGGGACCCTAGGGAAAGGTTGCTGGGCTCTATCTATATCCCCAAGGCTCGCCTAGAGAAGAAGTTCAGAGGTGCGGGATGACTCCAAGCCCATTTAGAAATAGAGGATAGTACATGGGTTATCCTAATGTACCTCCCAGATCTTGCGACAATTGGTTTCTGATCATCTCTGCTGGGCACCCAGGTGAGGGGCACTTTCATCTCCTTAGGTAGTGACTTTATCAAGGAGCTCAGCAGATACTAATCTGTCTTGATTCAAATCAGTGTGACCTGATTAAAGTCATATGTCCCCATGAGTGACTTGATGAGCGTTAATAATAAATATAAGGCTAAGCAAAACCTACAGGGTGGGCGCTAACATTGGCCTTTTCTATCATCCCCGTTTTACTAGCCTTTACTTCCCTCCTGTCGTCCTGAAATAAAGTTCACCAGACGTTACAACGCGATAGAGAACTGGCTGAGAGCTGTCATCTGGGATGCAAGCTACTCTGAACCTTTCCCAAGGGAACTTTGATTTTCCTTAGCTTTTTCTCATTACTAAGAGCTCCGCAGCATAAAGGGCAGGAGCCTGGGGACAGCACACTAGAAAATCCTGCTGCATCCAGGTTACTTGGCAATAGAGCCAGTCACGCAGAGTGCCAACACGGAACCACACCTATAACACACCTGATTCTGTGTCCCTGAGGGGGGCCCAGGACAGCCGCAGGAGAGGAAGGAGCAATGGTTAAGCAGGAGTTGCTGCTAAAATATAAAAGGTCGTGGGCGGTCACTGCCAACTCAACCCCTAGAGTGAGGGTCAGCCAGACTCGCGGGTCATGGCGTGAGGCTGACAGGCTGTGCAGAATTTGTAGGGCTGCTCTGAGAAAGAGCTGGGATGGACCGCCAGCTTCTGTGTGCTGACAGAGAGGGCTTCTGGGGCTGGAGATGTGGCTCCCGGTTAAGAGCATCGGTTGCTCTTCCAGAACACCTGTGCTCAGTTCCCAGCACCCACCTGGCATGGTGACTCAGAACAGTCTGTAGCTTTGGTTCCTGGGGATCCAATGTCCTGTTCGGGCTTCCAGGGGCACCATGGCATGAATGTGTCTGTGGAGGCCACGTGGTGGCTCAGAAACATCTGTAACTGCAGTCCCAGGCACCGCATGTGCACGATCCAAATACATGAGACAAAAACCCACACATGTAAAATAAAAATAGAGTCAGAGAGAAAGAGAGAGGGTGTGTGTATGGGGGAATGCTAGAGTGTCTCTGGACTTCCATGTATGGGTTCCATTGCCAGGGTTTCTGATCCAGTAGGTCTGGGATAAGTACGATCACAGAATTTCTAACAGTCTCCTAGATTATGCCAGTGCTGTTTGCTCTGGGAGCACAGATGGAAATCAGTGGTAGTGTGATGGTTTTTATTCTTTTTGGCTCTTTTGAGGGAACTGCCGCCACCCAGCTCCCAAATAAATCACACGCACAGGGCTTATTCTTAGTTATGAATGCCCGGCCTTAGCTTGGCTTGTTTCTTGCCAGCTTGTCTTAGATTATCTTATATTATCCCATCTACCTCTCCCTTGAGCTTTTCCGGTTCTCTTACTTCTGTGAATCTTACTCTTACTCCATGGATTGCTGTGTAGCTGGATGTCTGGCCCCTGATGCCCTCCTCCTTCTCTGGCCTTCTCCTTAGCCTTCCTCCCAGATCTCTCCTTCTGTATATTCCCTCTGCCTGCCAGCCTCGCCTCTCCTTTCTCCTGCCTCTCTGTTGGCCTTTCAGACCATCAGGTGTTCTAGACAGTCAAAGCAGAAGAGCTCACAGAGTTAAACAATGCAACATAAACAAAAACAACGACCTTAACATAATATTCCAACAGGAAATCTTTGGGGATAGAAGGATCTGGTCAGAGGGAAGGACCTTCCACCATGGAGCTGCAGTCTCTGTCGCTGCCTCCAGGTTCAGGGCCACAACACAACAGCCAAGCCTCATTCCTGACAGGCCTTTATTTTTATGCTGCGTTTACAGTTTGTTCAGCTAGTTATCCAGTTGGCCAGTTTCAGGGTTATTTCTCTGTATTATTTTTTTCTTATTTTTTTCACATAGAGTGAAATGGATGAGACACAAATCCAATTGGCTGGGGATGATGTGGACTTGCCAGAAGATCTCCGAAAGATGGTAGATGAAGACCAAGATGAGGAAGAGGAGAAGGATTCTATCCTGGGGCAGCTGCAGAACCTCCAGAACATGGACCTGGATGCCATTAAAGAAAAGGCACAAGCCACCTTCACAGAAATCAAGCAGTCGGCAGAACAGAAGTGTTCTGTCATGTGACGGGTGGTGGGGGTGTGGAAGGAGAGAGGGAGGCCACCTGCAGCAAGACAGCTCTCCTGGGAGTGGGGGATGACAATAATGCATCGTAACATAGCAAATATATGTAGGGAAGCCGTGATGAGAAAGGTATCTACAAACACGTGGACAACAATTCAGTCAATCTTGATGTCTAACTAGCACGAACTTGAGCACTAACTAGCCCTTGCTGCGAGGAACACACTTTCCTTTCTGTTATAGCCACAAGTTACTAAGAAATACCAGCTATAAATTATGGTGCAGAGCCATCTGGTTCAATATCTGTAGGACAGCCAGAAGGAGCCAAACCAAAGCAAGTGGCTTTTCCTCTCCAACTTTCTTCCTTAGTGAGCAGGGTCTCACAAGGTCCAACCATAAGAGTGATGCCAGTTACCTACAGAGAAAGGCTCAGGATAAAGGGTGGTCACCTAGTACCAAGACTACAGGCAACGGAGAAATCAAACATCACACCACCTCTTACTCCCAGCATCCTTGATATCTATGTTTTTTCTTAAATTTGCCTCTTAAACACTGTGCACTCCGCCTCTGTGATCAGACACTTGACATAAATAAACACAGTAAAGAGAAGAAAGACTTATTTGCGCTCACAGTTTAGAAGGTCCAGTCCATGATTGCTTGGTTCCAGGGGATTGAGCGTAGAGGAGGATGGAGTGGAGAACCATCTAAGGTTTCCAGAACCTCAAAAAAAAAAATCACTAAAGGGACACTTCATATAGACAACCCAAAATTTCCCAATAACCATTTGTCGTTGTCCCAGTGAAGGCTACTGGCTGGAGGAGAAGCCCCCAACATATGATCCTTTTAGGGAACATTGCCCGTCTAAGCTATAACAGACATGATTTCAGCAAGTGGCAGCGGTGGCTAGGGCTGTGGTTAAGAACAAAAAGTCACCAGCAGGTGCAGAATGACCTTGAAAGAGGCAAAGTTCAAGGTTGAGGGATGCTAGGACAACTATCACTACCTGTGAGTGGAGCATGGCTCCTTCTGTCTGAACTCTGATAGCAGTGGGAGCCCTGGGTAGACAAACAGTACTGAAGAACTAAGAACTTCAGTCAAACTATCGTTTAGCTTCCCCCTCCCTGTCTCTTTTCCTGTTGTTCTAAATTCTACCCTTCATCCTGCCTTCTAGGTCATTAATTACACTGACATTCTGAGCTAATTTTCTGGGTTGACATCAGTGTCTTTTTTCTAATATCCACTCTTCCAAAGACAATGAATCAAAGATTTGCCTCCAATACACTTGGAGCTTTTTAGTGAATCTCTTCATAGGACATGAGTAAGGGTAGGCAGAGAACAATTTTATCAAGGAGAAATTCTCTATTAGAGGGTAATAAGATGAAAACATGGGTACATACCTGGATTCATGGATACAGTGTGTAAGATGCAGCGTCATATTATAAAAGCATGCAAATTAAACCAAGTAGTAAAGTTCAGAACTGATTGCAGTGTTTAGCTCTGCTCAGACATTCCTGGGGAATATTGGTGTTTGAGGCTGATTCACCTTGTAGCCAGCCACACCCACCCACGTGCTCTAAAACCACGCCCATCTCCTATCAGAATTAGTATAAGTTGTGATTCATTTTATATAAGAAACTTTAAAATATAGTTCTAAATGGCATGCTCGTATGATGTCCGTCTCTGTCCTATAATCAATAGCGTGGTGGGTGGGCTGGGCTGGGTGAGAGGTTTCGTGTCAGCCTGAGATTTGTACATTTTGTTGGGTCATAAAGCATATGTCTAATTACTCAATAGAACAGCTGCAGGCTGGCACAAAGATTTGCTTTCTTACAAAATATGAAGCCAACATGCCCAAGAACATCACTAAATTGCCACTTCATCTTGACAGCCCAAGCTACCTCAGTACCATTTGGTCATTGTCCCAGTGGAGCTGTATGTTGCATTAGGAGCGGCAGGGCTGCGTCCCTGGCACCTGGCCACCCGCACGGCTAAGTTATGCCCCGAAATAATTACACGGAAACTGTATTTTTTTAAACACTGCCTGGCCCGGCTAGTTCCAGTTTCTTATTGGCTAGCTCTTACATATTAATCTAACCCATTTCTAATATTCTGTGTAGCCCATGAAGTGGCTTACCAGGGAGGATCTTAACCTGCATCTGTCTGGCGTGGGAGAATCATGGCGACTCCTCGACTCAGCTTCTTTCTCCCAGCATTCTCTCTGTTTACTCCACCCACCTATGTTCTAACCAATAAAATGGGCCAAGGCAGTTTCTTTACTATAATTAACCAATGTCCTTCCTCCATCAGCTGCATACTCTGCAGAGGACGGACCACGATTCCACATGAGTGACAGTGTGCCACAGCACAGCCCTGCACAGCGCCACACCATGCTGCCATGACATGCCACACCACATCAGCGTAATACCGCATCACACCACAGCACGGCACCACTGCACTGTGCCATGCCACAACACCACAACATCGCACATCACAGCACGGCATCACACAACCGGTAATAGAATCATCACATCATACCACCCCACACAAGAGTATCCATGCTGAGTATCAGCAGGACAGATGCCAAGCACCAACTTTGACCACACCCCAGCATACCATGCCAGATCACACTTGCCAGGCCTCCTTAGCCTTATTCCCCTGGGAAAAGTACGCCCATTTTGCAGACCCACAACGTGGGGCAATCAGACACGATAGGGAGTCAAGTCAAAGCAGGAACTCAGTTCATTGCTGTGTCAGCTTATATAGGTTAAGTGACATTGTATGGTATGGGGGGTACCTCCAGCCAATGAGAAACAGACAAGCCTTCCCTCTAGCTGGAGGGGTGTCTACCTAGATTTTGCTGTCTCATCCTCACTCAATAGCTTTGTGTGTGTGGACAACCTGCAGGAGTCTGTTCTCCCTTTTATGACATGGATTGGAAGAGTTGAGCTGAGATTTACCTCACTCTTAAAGACTGAGTAATATTCTACTATGTTCCTGTGTGGCGTTTTGTGCTGGGGAACACTTCATGCCCCTCTAAATTGTGACTTTTGAAAATAGTGTCCTAAGAATGTGGGTGTCCATGTGTCTTCTTGAATGCCTGCTGTCAGTGCCTCCCTGTGTGTTTGTGTATGTTGCATGTGTGTGCTTGCATATGTAGCCACAGATAAAACTTGGGTATCATCCCTCAGAACTCCATCTGGTTCAATGTTTTGTTTTATTTTGATTTGCTTTGAGGTGATGTCATTCATCACTTGAAACTCTCTGATTGACTTGAGTGCCTTGCCAGCAAGGCCTCAGAGTCCGTCCCCAGTGCTGGAATGACAAATGTCTACCAAAATTCCTGCTTTTTTATATGGATTTTGGGGACTAAATCCTGATCCTTATACTTGCATGACAAATATTTTACCAACTGGCTATTTTCCAAACCACTCATTTCTGTTTTGAGTACATCTGCACAAACAGAATAATTGACAGGTTTTTAACATTAGAAAGAGAAGTGCTATAAAAATGTGGAATCACAGATTAAATTCAGATTCAGAAACTTTCTAAAATTATCTTTAAAAGAAACTTGGTTATGAAAAATTCAAACCTAATCCAAAATAGTACAGTGTAACAAAGCCACAGATTCTGAACTCTTGCATCTTTACTTAGCTCTAAAGTGCTGTTGGCTTTGGAAAACTGTATTTACACAGCTCCATTTAAATCTAAAGAGGATCATTCTTAGGCTGTGTGATTTCCAAGCTATGGAAAGATGGAGTATGTATGCCAACTGATGTTTGCTTGCTTTTGTAAGTCATTTCAGAAGCCTGTGAGACTCCCAAGCTGCATTTCACTGAAGATCCTTCATTTAACTTACAAGGCCTTCGGTGAGTGCCTGAACTCCTGCACATGAATGAAGAAACTCCTGGGCACTCTCTGAGACGCTATTGAAAGCATCTGGGCCTAATTAGCTTCATCAGGACATATAGGATTAGCACTTTTAGGGCTTAAGGGGTCAAAGGAAAAAGCACAAGAAAATGGACAAAAAAAAATCATCCACAAAATTGCAGTAAACCAAATAAGTTAACAACCCAAGTAGAGCCCCGTAGAGTTGTCAGAGTCACCGAGGACAAAGAATGGCATCCCCTGAGATGGCATGGTCTTACAGCAAGGTGGCAGTGGCCCTGCAAGGGAAGCCCTGTCTCCTCTGTTAGCAAAGGTTCACATCAAATGCTGTGAGGGAAACTCAGTCAGCACTAGTGCTAACAAGACAGGAGTAGACTGAATTGGTGCCCTTTGAAAGTGATCAGATGGATCCTGTGGGCTCTTTGAGAGAGAAAGCAAAGAAGTCTGACATTTTCAAACACACAGGAAACAATATTTTAGAAAACTCCAGATAACTGAGTATAAGAATGTAAAAAAATGTATGCCTGCGTCATTAGCAGCTGTGTGAAATAGACACATTGCTTAATAATTTCCTCACATATAGAGTTCCTCATAACCGCATTAAATCATCTGTCACATAGGCAACATTTTCATATAGCGTAGATTCCAATGAGAGTCGGGCATCAAACTGGTATATACACGACATGGAGCACAGGTTTGAAGGGTGGTTGACGCTATAGAAAAAATAGAATGACAATAAAGAACATAAGAAAATTAGAGAGAGGACTCCTCTGGGAAAGAGAATGGTTAATGCAAAAATCCTGCGGCAGGGAGGATGTGAGAGGCCCTAAGTACCAAAGGAGAGGATTCCGGATCTGGGAAAGGGCTGGTCTCACAGAGCAGTGCAAGGGGTTTTGCTTTGATGCTAAGTATAACAGTTGATTTGCGTTTTAGTCAAGGAATGTATTCACCTGTCTTATTTTTTTAAATTTGTTTTTGTCTTGAGATATGGTCTTACTATGTGGCTCTGACTGATCTGGAACTTGTGTCTGAGGTCGACCTTGAAACCGTGATCTTTCTGCCCCAGACTCCCGAGTGCTGGGATTACAAGTGTATGCCACCACACACAGCTATGTTTCTGAATAGTTGGCTGAGTGGAAAGGAGGAAAGAACAGCAAGAGGAAGGAGGCCTCAGAAGGACAGTGCTCTGCACTGTGTTAGAGAAGAAGAGGCAGATGGGCTCACAGAGACACTGGAGCTAGGGCCGTGGGGAAGAAGAGACTGCAATAATGCTGACTTGATGGGGGTGCTGTGGGAACGGAATAAGACAGGACATGGGAGGTGACACATGCACTGGGTCAACGGTGTTGTCAAGGTGTCCATGACGTTGACAAGGACTAAAGCCACGAGCAGGAGGAAGGGGCTGTGGCTGGTCCATTCTTTAAGACCAAAGACAGAGTGGTCAGGATTTTTTGACCTGACCATAAGGTGGTGAAAATTGACCTAATCTAGAAAACAGGGCATTTCCACACTAAATTAGAGAAAGAATAATGGGGTGTTGGATTTTGTTAGCTGTCTTTTCTATGTATATTGAGAGGATCTTGCATTTTTATCTTTCAGTGTATAGATGTGCTATATCACATCTTATGCTTGACTAGGGTCAACCATCCTTGCATCCAAGAGATAAACTCCTCTAGATCATGGTGATGATACTTGTAGTGTTATGCTATATAGGGTTTGCCAGGATGTTACAATTTTTTTCACCCATATTTCTCAAGAATATCAGCGGATAATATCTTTGATGAACATCTTTCACTTTGTTTCTCTGGATTGATCTAAGAGTAAATGTTGGCTCTATAAGGTGCCTTCCCTTTCGTTTGGCTCCATTTCTTTGACAGAGTTTCGGATGCATTGGCTTTTATTCTGCTTTAATCAATTGACAGAATTCACCCAAGAAGCCATCTGGTCTTGGGCTTTCCATTGTTGGGAGAATGTTTTCAATCACTGGTTACATCTCCTTTAGTAATATTGGTCTGTTCAGATAGTTTAGTTTTTATAATTCAGTGTTGGCTTGATAGATTATATATTTCTATGAATGTGTCTATGTTTTCTAGGCTTCCCAATTGTTGGTCTATAATTATTTGTAGTAGTCTCTTAGGATACATTGTATTTCAATTCAGTCCAAACCAAAAGCCTAGTGGTAATTTTTACAGTAACAGGAAAACATTTGCAAAACATGTTTTTCAGATAAAGGATTACTATATAACAAATATAAAGAAACATACAACTAGATCATTTTTTAAAGTATAAACAGATTTGTATAGTAAGCAAAGGATCTAAAGAAATATTTTTTTCCAAAGAGGACATTAAAATGCCCAATGGGGATGTTAAAAGTGTCTAGAATCACTCGTCATTAGGGGAATACATATCAGTCACAATAAGACACCACTTCACACTTATTAGGATGTCTCTTTTTGAAGAAAGGAATGTGGAGAAGTTGGCACTCTTTTTCATGAGAAT